ACACAGCCTCAAGCAGAACGAGTAGGCACGACCAGAATCACTCAATTAGGTCCCTCTGGGAGGTTCAGGGGGCTTAGACCCCAGCTTGGGGTTCCCTGCGTTGCACCACCCAGCCCCAACCGAAACTAAACTCCAAACTCCTCCCGCTGCTCCTCTCCTTTGTTCAGTCTCCCGGGCAGAAGGTGTTAATTCTCCCCACCCCCGTTCCTGGCTCAGGTTACAGCTCAGGTAGCTTCCTTCAAGGGAAGTCCCACATCCCCACTGCAACCCCCCTGCAACATTCCCAGGTCAAATCTGCCCTGCTCCCTGCTCCGTCACACCGGTCTTCCGACAGTGGCCAATGCCGGGTGCCCCAGAGGGAGTGAACCTAACAGGTAATGATCAAGTGATCTCTCTCCTGCCATCCATCTCCACCCTCTGACAAACAGAGGCTAGGGACACCATTCCTTACCCATCCTGGCTAATAGCCATTCATGGACTTAACCTCCATGAATTTATCCAGTTCTCTTTTAAATGCTGTTATAGTCCTAGCTTTCACAACCTCCTCAGGAAAGGAGTTCCACAGGTTGACTGTGCGCTGCGTGAAGAAGAACTTCCTTTTATTTGTTTTAAACCTGCTGCCTATCTCATCACAAAGGAGTACATGTCTGAGCCAGGAGTTAACCTAGGTCTCCGAAGTTCCAGTCCAGTTCCTTATCCACAAGGCCATACTTCTAGGGCTATTGTCTGAGTCTCACGCCAGCATTTTTCAGAACTCCGGCTTGACCCTGCAGGACTGCTGTATTCAGGACTCCCCCTGAAGTCTGCACACAGAAGGTTTGCAGGATGAAGCCTTTGCTGAGGATGCTGCTCTTTAGGTTCTGTGGGAAAAGTTGGCTTCCCTCTCAGTGGAGCGAGCACAGTACACAGAGTACAGTGGAGTTGGTCTGGGGAGTTTTGCTTTGTTTAAAGTAGCCACAGAAAAATACCTTGTTACTATGCATGTCTGTTCCTAAGGGGGCTGATCCTGTTCCTTCCACTGCCAGCACTGCTTGGGATTGGGCCCTAGGTTTTTTTTCTGAGCTATATCTGCTTAGTTGCCTGGCAAAAGCAAGTATTTTTACTCCTGCCTGCACTGCAGAGCCAGCCTAGCTGCAGAGAGGCAGGCTGTATCCTATTGTGCCTCGCACATCATCCACCAAATTGCCAGCTGAATCCTGATCCCGGGATCTTTATCGTTGCTGACGGTTGGTGATGATGCAGAAAGAACACAGCTTTGTTTTCAGCTATCAGGCAGAGTTTGCAGCTCTGGCACTTGGGGAGAATCTTGCAAATGGTGCAAATTTGATAGAAGAGTCACTGAGGGAGGGATTGTGACACCAGAGAGATACTGTGTTTAGAGTCGTTTTCTGATAGCCACAAGGAGTTCTTTTGATTAGTAGCTATTCATAAATTGCAATGAGCAACAGTAAATTGGGCTGGTGAAGGAGGCATGCGTGTCTGCAGCTTGCTCTTCCAAATTATTTGTCCCCCTGATGTTCCAAGACTCCCAGTCTTTATCTTGCTTCTCATGCAGCTGTCGATTTCCCCCACCTGTGTCTTATCCATTAAAAAAATTGTCCTTTATTCTTTCCATTGAAATGTAGCAGGTGATGCTCTAATTGAGTCCAAATGAGTCCCAGAATCCTTAGTGCAAGTTCCAAAAAAGATGCGCAGCAACCAATGTCTAGTGACTGTGATGCACACGGGAGGATGTGAATTCACTGATTTCCATCAGGAAGAGCTACAAGAGCAAAGACACTCCCTGCCCCCAAAAGTTTACAATCTAAAATGTCCCTTTCTTCCATTTGCTAAATAGCACCAGAAGAATAAAGCAATCCTATTGCTAAGTATAGTACAGCTATCCCTTCTAGGTATTACTGTCTTGGACAAGGCCAGTGTCCCTCTCTTGCTTCTGTTGCACGAAAAATTATTCCACCCTAAGCAGAACTTGAGATCTATTTAGGGATTTTACACGAGAGCTATTCAAAGTTTTTTATAGCTCACAGTTTTTCTGGACTATTGATACGCTCTGGAAACTCACCATGTACAAGGGGTTTGAACTGTTTTAGTTGGTTCTTTATTAAATGTGCTAAGAGTGCAGGAACGGGGCAAGGGGTGGAGAATAGATTTTGGATGCCTGTCTGGAGTCTCCTGTGTGTAACCAAGTTCTTTGTCATGAGACTGTATTACAGCTGTATGCTGTGTGAACAATTGAGGGAACCGGGATTATGAAGGGTGAGATGTCTGTTCCATAAAGCTCTCATCCCACTCCTTATGGGGGATTATAGATGGTGGACTTGGGAAGGACCTCCTAGGAGACCTAGTTAGTCCCATGTCCGGGATAGGTCTCTGTACTAAACGCCTATGTCTTTAATCTGGTCTATTCTTGAATGTTTCCGATAAGTATCCCACCATTCTGAGTCCCTAGCAAATTAATCCAACAACTGATCCTTGCTGTTGGAGACGTGTGGCTAATTTGCCATTTGCCTATTTTGAGACACTTCTGCTTTTCTGAGTATTGTCGGTCTCTCTGTACTTTCCATCTATACAGTCCTTTCTAATTGGGCATGGTCCGTGCATTTGGGGCCTCGTCCCACCAGCTGCTTTGACACCAAGCTCTGACACCCATTGACACCTAGCCCTCTCTGGGGAGCATTCAGGCTTTAAGGATCAGACCTGTAGATAAGGTGCAACTGACTTATTTCTTCCCAACTTGGAATCGTCCCATTTCTCACCCCTCTGTTTGCCCCTTCTCTGGCTTCCCTTGGCCCTCTGCCTTACGTGAGAGCTCCTTGTGCCCTCTTCAAAGCCCTACCCAGTCTAGCTCCCACCTGCCGCTCTGTTCTCTTTTCTGTTGCACTCAAGCCACATGACTAGCCATCCTCGTAGTGTCATACTCCTGCTCCTGGTAGTTCCCTATGCCTGGAACATCCCCTCCCTGACTATGGAGCTAGAGCTTATATGGCCTCCATCACTGTAGTGTCTGAGCACCTCACCATCGTTTACAGTATTTATCCACACAACTCCCCTGTGAAGTAGGGAGGTGCAATTATTCACATGTGGCACTGGTCACACAGGGAGTATGAGGCAGTGCCAAGAATTGAACCCAGCGCTCCTGATTCCAGTCCGGTGCCTTAACCACAAAATAATCCTTCTGCTCTGTCTCCATACTCTCCTCTTTCAAACCCCTCCTCAAAACTCACTTCCTTCCCAAGGCCAATCAGCTCCTGACAGCCACAGGGGTGGTGAAGAGAGTGCCAGGGGAGAGTAATCAAATAAACCTGAAACCACCTCACTTTCATGGCTGACTTACTGTAGTCACTTGCCATGTCACATTCCACCCTCCCCCCATTTGTCTGATAATAAATGATACACTTTTGGGGGTAAGGCTCATGTCTGATTATTGGCTTGTAAAGCAGCTAGCACCCTTGGAGTCTAGTTCAATAATGAGGTTTGCTACCCAGTTTTTTAACAGAGCCATAATACTCAAAATAAAACTCTCACACAGCTCTGACTTTTCTCTCTCTCATGCAGGGCTATGTCGAGAACTTTACTAAAACCTAGTGGCCTGATTTCTAGAGGTGCTGGGTACCTGCAGCTCCCATTCAACTCAGCCCCAGGCACTCAGCACCTCTAGAAATCAGGCCACCTATACATCATAGCGACGTCTGTCTACTGAACCTGTGCTGCTTGTGTCAAAGCAGGCTATCTGGTTTCTTCCGGCACAGTCTGTTCTTTGTGAACTCCTGCTGCCGATTGCTCATCAAGATGTTGTCAGATCTTACAGATCAATTATTTGCTCAAATATTTTAGCCCGTACTTAGTCGTTTTTCAAAAGCTTGATGTTTTTCAGTCTTCCTCTTTAAAATATGTGTGAGTGGTTCCTCAATTTCCTCTGAACCCAGGGAGGAGAGAATGGTGATCTAGCTAATGCCAACATTTTATTACAATTGAAAATGGCGTTTTCTTTTCTCACATTGCTTCCCCTTCTGTACAGTGAAAGGGGCACAGATCAAAATACAGAAGTCACTTCACTGTGTTGCTTCACTGGGACAATGGATATTAAACAATAGTCAATGTTTTGTTGCTAATCAGTAGCTTTTCAGTGGTAAAAAGATGGTTCTTTTCAACTAAAACATGCCCTTTCCCTTACTGCAGAGAAAACAGCTGATGATGACGTCCAGAAGTCTGACATCTCATCCAGCAGCCAAGGAGTGATCGAAAAGGAATCTCTGGGACCTCTTCTCCTGGAAGTAGGTGCTCTATTGCAATCAGTAACACCACCAGTCTTTTCGTATTTGAAATCTGAGGTGGTTTTAATGAATCTCTGACCAAGAAAGTAAAATACAGACTAGTAGGAAAACACAGTCCCAATCAGGTTGTTCCAAGGATAGATTATCCCTTGCTAAAGCTGTGGGTAACCCACATTAGTCCCCCAGTTCAGCATATCCTTTAAGCATGGGAATCCTAGCCCTATCAGCAACGGACTTAAGCGCATGCTTAAGTCCCACTGAAATTAAAGCAACTGAAGCATGTGCTTAAGTGCTTTGCATGAATCAGAACCATAGTGAGCAACGTCTTAATACTGGTATAAAGGTGCCCTGCTGTTGCCTGCCCACCTCTGTGTAGTTATTTCATTCTTTCCACTTAGCCTGAGCGTTGTTGTGGGGGGATGCAGTATGACTGAAGAGCCATCATGCAGCTGAGCAAGTTAAAAGCCGTCTGCTTTGGGAGAAAACTTAACTTTCAACCACACTGACCTAAGTCACCGGCTAGACAGATTGTCTTGTTAACTGCCAGGGGTGCTGAAGACTGGCTAGCCCTTTCAGGCACCAGGGCTCTTAGATGTGTGCTAGTAAACTTCCTCCTCCCAGCTAAGGCATGAGAAAACAAGAGTTAAAGGCAGGAAGAATGAATACTGAGTGCAAAGCAGTTAATTGGAGTGGGCCATTAAAATGTAACAGCATTAAATAGTCCCATTTTGAGGGCATCAGGAGCAACCAGATCATTTAGACAGACCTTCTATATATCACATGCCAGTATACACCACCCAGCCGCATCCACGCCAACTCCAACAACCAGAATTAGACGTGTGTATTACAGCCATCAGGAGGCTAAACTGTTGTGTGCCATGGCAGAGAACAGAAGGGACCTGCTGGGTTTAGTGTGTGAGTGCTAGTGGCCAAGGATAGACAGGAGGTCAGTCTAGATCAGTGGTTTTCAACTTGTGGTCCACTATCTCTAAGATTTCCAAAGGGGCCTGCACCTCCGTTCACAATTTTGTAGGGGTCCGCAAATGAAAAAAGTTTGAAAACCACTGGCCTAGCTGATCTGGTGGTCTCTTCTGGCCTTAAACTCTGACTATGGCCCACCGCACCAATGCCCAAGGCCTTTCTGTGGCAGGGAAGTGAGAGAGATATCCCGCAGTGATCCTAGCGAATGACCTACGCCTTGTGCTGCAGAGGAAGGTGAGGGCTGTGTTAACTAGATCTGTGTAACATGAAATACGGTGAAGTGTGATGGTACGGGACTGACAAAAAGCTCTTTTCTTGGCATGAAGTGGATGCAATTGCCAAAGTGGTTCTTATGTTTTTACTAATTGATAAAAAGACATATTGGCTACTGTAAAGGGCTGACAGTGCTAAATCATGATTGCCTATGTCTGCTTACTAGCAGGAGAATCTAGGACAATAGGAGCACTTTTATAGCAAATGAAGCTACTGAGGAATAATCAAAGGTTCACTACAGACAAAATTAATGCCTAGGTGAGGACGTATTTGAACTGTAGGGAAGGATCTGATTTGTAAAGAGAATGAAAGTCATCTGCCTGAAACATGTGACCAGGACTAACTGGGAGTTGATTGCTCAGCAAAGGAGGTGCTGTCTAAAGAAGCAAAAAAGCAGAAGTGGTATTAGAGGGAAAGCAGCACTGGATAATGGAAACAGTGAGTGAGAAGAGTTTTAAAAAAAAAGAGGAAAAATTGTCCTGAGAGAGGTGGCAGTTCCTCAAGAGTAATATAGAGCTTGGGCTCCACTAAGAGAGTTGTGCATCCTGCTAGAGCAATGGAGGATGGAACTCTTGGAAGAAGCCAGACATCTGGGCTGCCTATTTGTTGGCACTTAGAGTAACCTAAGAGGCATCAATAAATTTGCAGCATACCCAAAATGTTATAGAGCAACCCCTGGAAAGTCACCCCTGGATATAGCTCTCATAAATTGGAAATCAGGGGTCAGTTTAAGACCCAGTACAGTTTAAGAACACTTTTATTCCAAAGCTGCTAGGCCTAGCCAATAGCTCTCTATAGGGGTTGAAAAAATTGGGTGCTTATATGGGATGGGGAGTTAATTAGATCAGCTTGTCCATGACTGAGAATATGGCTCCATACTCAGAGTTTAGCATTAATAGGTCATTTCTGCAGGGAATTAAAACAAAGGTGTGTTGTGGCTCTGTTAAGTTCTGCTTTGTGAAGAACTCATTATACACAGTGTGCTAAAAATATCTAACAGTTATGCAGACAGAAGGATAGTTTTGTAACTTGAGATCCCATACAACCAACATGCAAAACACACTAATAGATGGGTACATTGCTGTGGATTACAAAGCCGCCTCCTGACACCAGACCTCCAACATCATTCATTTGGTAATTTACACTACCCTAGCCAATGCCCGTTGAGATCACTGAAGCTACATGCTGCTGTTTAAATGTATCATCAACATAAGTCAAGTCCCATATTTCTCTCTGGTTTCCAGATTGTATTTGTAGTCTAACCCTGGGCGCCCTTAATGCTCACTTAGGTCTGGCTCCTGCACAGTGCGGCTGTGGAGTGTTGCAAGGATAAGAGCAAGGTGATGAGCTGGACCAAGAGAGCAGGGAATCTTTTTGCTGCCTTAATCTGAGTGCCAGGTTACGCCAGCCTAGTAGCACGTTTGAGGCCTAAGAGGGGAAGCATGTAGCTAATTCCTCATTAACCAAAGGATCCTTGCACTTCAACCCAGGTCTTCCCAGACACACCCTTTCCTCTCTCATATCCTACTGTACCTTGTGTTCTTGTGATTAAAAGAGCAGGTATTTTGAGGGCTTCAGTGTGGAGGATGATGCCTAAAGTGGAACCTTAGATGTGCCCCTATCTATTTGCCATTTGCACTTGGGCTGGAGTGCAGCAGTTATGGTGCACCATATAAGGGCTTGCAGGATCAAGGCTTTAATACTTAGGAAGATGCCTGGTGTGTAGCTTGAATTTCTTTTCAATATATTCAGCACATTGGCATCCCTCACCCCCTTCAGGAGCTAAGCATCGCCTTTCTTGCAGCACTAGGGTTTGCAAGTGGGGCTAATGCTCATGCTATTAGCTGCTCACAGAGAGGTTTTGCTGGTAAGGTGAGGGTGGAGGCTGTGGCTGCACTAGGGGGTGAGGAGTGCTAGATAATCCTGCCACAAGGTGGTAGCAAAGCAAATTCCTCCCCTCCTGTCCTCAAACTACTCCTTTTAGAGGTGTTAGGCCCTTTCCCGCCTCCAGGCACTGCTGTTCATGTTGGAGAGGAGGAAAGACTCATTCTCTCCAACCCAGCCTAGTTTAGGCTTATGAAATCTATTAATGGGACTTTTTTTTTAGAGTCCTTAACTAATGCCTATAGGTAGCCGAATGTTGCAACCCCTGTTTTACACGTGGGGAAACAGAGGCACGGGGCATTGTGAGAACATATTAGTTAATTTTTGTGAAGCACTCTGGAAACACTCCCCATCTGTGCTCAGTAGTTATTAGTATTATTAATGGTGTTCCCAATAAATGATCTCGCTGAGGAATGGCTTCAGATCAGCTTATGTTGAGGCAACTATGAAGAGTTTAGTTTTCTGTCACAACTGACCATGAGAAACAGTTTTTGGTTCCAGTAGGTTCCCAAACAACATTCAGATTCAGCTGTCTGAAAATGTTCCTGAGGTGACTCCCACCCCACCTGCTTGTCCTTTGCTGTTTCCTTTAACTCATGGGATAAGCGCGCTTGCTGCTCGGAAGGACCTAAATCCTTAAGTGCTTGTCTGCTATTAAAGTCATTAAGAATTGCAGGCACTCAGCTACTGTAGTGATGAGGGCCATGGAAGTACCGAGATAGGCTATGCATCAGGATTTGTAACCATGGGGTCATCTGCATGCTATCTTTCAATTTCCATTCTATATTAATGGCCACACTCCTTTTCTGTCATCTCACAAACCTTTTGCTGCATTCCTAGACCTTCTGAGCTGGGTACCAGATCAATTGCCACTTCTTCCATTAAGGAGCTAACTTGCTATGGTGCAACATGTTCACTAGAAGACAGCACCAGTGTAGGTTTTAAATGTTTATATTCCTGATCTTCTCCATAGAAAGTAATGCTTGGGCTAGCTTAATTAGTGACATCTTAGTGGGTAGTCTTTGTGTTCTAGAATTGTTTTGGGGCTAAAGTGCAAGGACTAGGAGTCAGCAGATCTGGGTTGTAATTTCCCGCTTTGCTATGGATGGCCTTCCTGGGCAAATCTCTCTGTAATTCTGTTTTCCTGTGGGGGATAATACAATTTCCCTGCCTCACAAACAGTTAGCTCATTAATGTTTGTTAAAGCACTTTTACAGCCTCAAATGGAAGGGGCTACAGAGAGACAAATTATTTTTGTTAGGTTTTCTACTGTTTGGGACCAGAACCATCCCTCATTATGGTTCACAAGCTCCACAATCAGCAGCGCTGATACACCAAGTATTTGTAAACCCCAGAGTAGCATTTGCGCAGTGTTGCTAAGTTAGGAGTGGGTTCTGTTACCCCACATGAGTTTTAGTTCAGTAGCCTCTTCCTTCTGCAAAGCACCCTGGAGTACTGTGTGCAGAGAGCACTAGTTAGAAACCTTGTCTTGTACTTTCCTGCAAGGCTTGGGTCCAAAGCCCCCCCTGCTTTCTTAGTTTCCCTCAAAAAAAAAATTGAGTGTTTTATTGGCCTCTGATTAGGATGCTCACAAGAGAGGCATGGGCTCCTCTCCTAATTTCCGGAAATGGATTATTCAGCACCAGTTACGTGCTGGTTAGACATCAGTCCGACTGTGTTAATGGAGATGTGATTGATTTACACCCAAGCTCGAACCATTTGTTAGGTGCTGATTCATTCTGTTTCTTTAGCTACTCTTATTTCCCATCTGTTTTATTCATGCTGTTCTCCCTTTACTAAATACTTTAGAATAACTGGATCAGCTTTGTTACTGGGTGTGTGATGGGAGGTGGTGGGGAGAGGATGGAGGAAATATCACGATGTACTTGAAAAGGAGGGAAGTTTGGGAGTAAAGTTTAATACAGGGCCCTCGGACAAACCCATTTGACTCTTCTACAGGGAGCATGAAGTGCAAAAGCTGGTTGCTTGGCAACAGGCAACAGCTGTGAAAAAGGAAAATTGTGGTTGATCTGCCAGGGCAATTTTGACAGTTTCTTAAAAAAAAAATTGCTTCCTGTTTCTAGCATTGAATGTTGCTCTGTCTACAGCAAACCTGATTTCCAGAAAATGTATTAAATAAAAATCAGAGACTATGTAGCAAAGTAACTCACTTCAGGCTTCACAAGACAATACAATTATAGGGCATATGTTTGGTGGAGAAAGGGGATAGAGTGTTGCTGCATATGGGGGAGGGGAGGTGTATGTAAAATACAAAAACCTGGTTTTGTCCATATAACACAAGTCCCGGATTCTGCAGTCTGATCCCTGGACTCTTGTGCCCTGTGCAATGTCATGGCTGCACACCAGCACCAGGGGTCTGCCCACATGGATTCAGTTGCAGGATCAGGGCCTGTCTTAGGGCGCTTGCTGTTAATTCAGGGGTCGGCAACCTTTCAGAAGTGGTGTGCCGAGTCTTCATTTAGTCACTCTAATTTAAGGTTTCGCGTGCCAGTAACACATTTTAACGTTTTTAGAAGGTCTCTTTTTTCTAAGTCTATAATATATAACTAAACTGTTGTTGTATATAAAGTAAAGAAGGTTTTAAAAATGTTTCAGAAGCTTCATTTAAAATTAAATTAAAATGCAGAGCCCCCCGGATGGGTGGCCAGGACCCGGGCAGTGTGAGTACCACTGAAAATCAGCTTGCGTGCCGCAGGTTGCCTACCCCTGTGTTAATTACTAAAGATGGGATTAAATTAGGCTCCGGGTAGGTAAAAATCAAATCCTACTGACATGAAGCACCTAAGGAGAGTCCTGTAAATTATCAATCTGCCTCTCCCAGGGCTTCTTCCAGAAACTGTGAAGTCTCCTACATTGGGCTATTCCATGCTGGTAGAAAGAGTTTCTCCCTCATGACCAGTGCCAAAGGAGTAAATAAGGACTTGATCCTGGTCCCATTAAACTCAATGGCAAAACTCCCACTGGTTTGAATAGTGCAAGATTGGACCCTGTTTGCAGATATTCTAGTTCGCTGTGATTGCAGAGCTTAGACTGGATTTGTTGTTTCCCAGGAACATGTAACATGAGTTAGTCTGCAAGATGCTGAGTATTTTTTAGTTCTCAGGTCCTGATTCAGCAAAGCAATCATGTGCTTGACCTGCATGCTTTACTGAATCGGCCTCACTGACAGTCTGACTCTTCAAAGAGGATTGTTTGCTACTAGCTATTATGCCCCAAAGTAAAGAGGTCTGTTTACTGTTGCTTGCAGGGCCATAGTACATGCTTAAGCAAATGTACTGATATTTGATCCTCAGCAAAGGAGCCATAGAGTTTGTGAAATATTTTATTACCATTAGAGCCCTTTGGCTAATCGCAATACAGATCTTTGTGGTTATTCCTTTCTTACCGTCAAGTAGATACAGCTGGCTGTGCTTTAGATAATCTGTGCTCTTGGGTCAGCTCATCAGACACCATCCATAGACAGCAAGGAGCCTTCCACACACCTAAAAGAGGATGAAGAACAACCCATTACTGGGGCGGAGAGGGGAATCAAAGCAAAATGAAAGGACTGTGCAAGCAGAGAAAAATGTTAATTACATCAGACCACTTGAAGTGATCTGTTATCTCTGTTATGGTAGTGAGATCAGGGTCCCATTGTGCTAGGTGCTGTACAAACCCAAAAAGAGAGTGTCCCTGCTTTGAAGAGTTTACAGTCTAAATAGACAAGAGCAGGAGGGGGAAACAGTTGCAGAGAAGCAAAGTGACCTGCCCAGGATCACAGAGCAGGTCAGTGGAATAGAACCCTGGTCTCCTGACTCACTCCAGTGCTTTACCTTCTGGAGCAGCTGCTCTTGCAATGACTGCATTTTTATTTCCTCTGGACATTGCAGGCACTGGATGGCTTTTTCTTCGTTGTGAATCGTGAGGGGAGGATTGTGTTTGTGTCCGAGAATGTGACCAGCTACCTGGGTTATAACCAGGAGGAGCTCATGAATACCAGTGTCTACAGCATCCTGCATGTAGGGGATCACGCGGAGTTCGTCAAGAATTTGCTGCCAAAGTCTCTAGGTAAGAAGCAGATGGGTTTTTCCTTCTTTATTTCAAAGAAAAATGGGATTTGCGCCATGTTTTCCTGGTGTCAGATTGTTAATGGCCTGTCCATGGGTTTATAACACAACAGTCCCTGTGTTACCTAAAGTGGAGAAGTGTAACCTCTCTGTGCTTTGGGGTCTTACTTGCCTGTCTCACACGGGTGTTGTGAGACTAGATGCATTAATATGTGTATAGTGCTCTGAGATCTTCAGATGGGAGCCATTGTAGAATTGCAAAGTGCTGTAATCACGTCAAGATGTTTACAGCATTTATTTTTTGGCATTTGAAGAACACTATAAAACGCTGTTGTTCTTGCAGTGAAGTTAATTCTGTAATGACTGAGATTTTGTTATACTTAACTGCACACTGGAATTTGGAGAGCTGCACAAACCAGTTAGCTACATAAAGAAATAAAGCAGGTGTATATTTCCGTCTCAGCTCTCAGGGTCTGATCCATCAACTTTTGCACAATGAGAATATCCCTCCTATAATAGAAACTAATATTAACTTTTTGTAAAGAATGCTCTTCCTGTTGGGTGTTAGAGCCTTTTCTCTCTGCTTTCTGCTACTGATGCAACTTCTGCATAGATCAGAATAGCTCATGGGTTGTGGAACAACAAAACTTTCTGGGGCTTTGTGGGTTAAGAAATAAGTTGTCTAGCGGGAGTTGAGTGCATGCAGTGCACACTTGAGAACACTAGAGGGCAGTGTGAGAAGGTCATCTGGAGAGCGAATAACTGGAGGACGTTTGGGTTTTGAGAGCTAGTGTAAAGAATCCTGTTTAATCCTATCGACTGCCTGTTCACTTGCCAAAATGCCTGTCGCTTAATCTGCATTTAAGCTCATTTTTTAAATAATATGCTTACTCTATGTGCCATCATGTAACTCCCGGTAAGAACCTCTATTGGCTACTCAGCCAGAAACCTCAACTAACTTTATTAAACTCACAGCTTAAAAAGCTTTGACTTTAAGGGGATGTTATTAAAGCCGAATGCCAAAAATGTGCCTGCCTCTTGAATTCTGGGGCTTTTTGGTAGGTTTCAGGCATGTAGCAACAAACACAAAAAATAAGCTACATTTTGGTTTGTTGTTGTAGGATCAGTGCACAGTTGGTTTTAGTCAAATGAATTGTTGCAGCCCTAAGATCAATGCCTTGTTCAAGATAGGTCAAGTCTGTGGCCTCTCCACCTTGCCCACATTCTACTGGTTTGATAATATAATGTCTACTTCGATGTCTAGTTGGCAGCCGATATTAAGCGGAGTGCCCCAGGGGTCGGTCCTGGGGCCAGTTTTGTTCAACATGTTCATTAATGATCTGGGTGATGGGATGGATTGCACCCTCAGCAAGTTCACGGATGACACTAAGCTGGGGGGAGAGGTAGATACACTGGAGGGTAGGGATAGGGTCCAGAGTGACTTAGACAAACTGGAAGGTTGGGCAAAAACAAATGTGATGAGGTTCAACAAGGACAAGTGCAGAGTCCTGCAGATAGGACAAAAGAATCCCATGCACTGTTACAGGCTGGGGACTGACTGGGTAAGTGGCAATTCTGCAGAAAAGGACCTGGGGATTACAGTGGACGAGAAGCTGGATATGAGTCAACAGTGTGCCCTTGTAGCCAAGAAGGCTAATGGCATATTGGGCTGCATTAGTAGGAGCATTGCTAGCAGATTGAGGGAAGTGATTATTCCCCTCTATTCAGCACTGGTGAGGCCACATCTGGAGTATTGCATCCAGTTTCGGGCCCCCCACTACAGAAGGGATGTGGACAAATTGAAGAGAGTCCAGTGGAGGGCAACGGAATTGATTAGGGGGCTGGGGCACATGATTTATGAGGAGAGACTGAGGGAACTGGGCTTATTTAGTCTGCAGAAAAGAGGAGTGGGGGGGATTTGATAGCAGCCTTCAACTACCTGAAGAGGGGTTCCAAAGAGGATGGAGCTTGGCTGTTCTCAGTGGTGGCAGATGACAGAACAAGGAGTAATGGTCTCAAGTTGCAGTGGGGGAGGTCTAGGTTGGATATTAGGAAACACTCTTTCACTAGGAGAGTGGTGAAGCACTGGAATGGGTTACCTAGGGAGGTGATGGAATCTCCATCCTTAGAGGTTTTTAAGGCCTGGCTTGACAAAGCCCTGGCTGGGATGATTTAGTTTGGGGTTGGTCCTGCTTTGAGCAGGGAGTTGGACTAGATGACCTCCTAAGGTCTCTTCCAACCCTGATATTCTATGATTCTATATCAAAGTTAGGGCCTATTAGATAAACCTTTATAAGTTCACAGACCACTGGCCTGAACAAGTGTTGGAGCCGTTACTGTCTTTTAGGTCCACACAGTTGCTTGTTCATGCTAAACAGTGTGGAATTCTTGTTCTGTAGCAAAAATTCCTTGATGTGCCAAGCAGTGTATTTAAAACAAAGGATGAATTTGAGAGGGCTGGTTGGGTCTCAGGAAGGTCTTTCCCATTTTCCTCTCCCACCCCTTGGTATTTTCCCCAAGGCCCATGGAGATTGTATATAGCCTCTTAATACCTCACCAAGCATCTGCCAGAGGGGGTTTGCTACAGTTCACAAGGGTTTGTCTTCACTAACGAGTTAACAGGAGGTATAGCGCCACTGTTCCTGTTAGCTCGACCCCCATCAGCACACACAAACCTGTCACTCATGCGTAGTGGTGGTAATAAGGTGAGTTGGCTGTCATGTCTTAGGGGTATAGGGCAGACCTCGAGTGAGCTTCACTCAAGAGCTGCTGACTCAAGTTATCAGCATGTGGAAGCAGGCTTAGAGACTAAGGCATTGTCTGCTCACATAGTTACACCATGGTAGTTAAAAGAAGAACAGGAGG